AACTTTACGCTCACATATATATGGATTATTTTTTCTGCTTAGCGTTTTTTAGCAATTCAATTTTCTACAGGATGGGGTCGCTAACTTCATACTCAACCCTTTACCCGGTCTTGGGGCCGGTAGTAGCCCCAGAGGGGCTCCAGGAGGAGTTATATATCTATAACTTCAGTAGATAACATGTCACTTACTGTGAAGTAATGTTAATTTGTTAAATATAAAGTACAGTTGGGGTAGTAAATCTTAGGATGTGTCTTATAAAATAATAAATGACTAGTAATTATTGAGTACGTTTCATGTAGGAATTCAAACTTTAAACTTAAAAGGTCTCACATTAAACAGTGATTCTCCGTGCACTTGAATTCAACAAAACGTCTATGATATATGGAATTTTAAGCAAATTTCTTTCTGTTGTCTAAATGTATGTGTGTACTCACTTTCAACATGTATAATAGCTTATCTGTGATAAACTGATGTCTTTGATAGTGATGAATTCGCTAATTCTGACGGATAAAATTCCATGACAAGACTGCTGATTCATTTGTTAACGTTATTTTTTTAGTAGTTGTTTCAACTAAAAATAATCTTAAAAAAACAAAAATAGTTTGTTCATGTTAAAAATAACTTATCCACATACAATTATCATGTATTATCATTTAACATGAAATAACGATCAATTACTGTATTCAGATCCATCCAACCAGGATTCAAGAAGCATTTTTATGTACTTTTTGATAACTACATTTCAAAGTTGAAGGGTTTCTTACAACGTTTTTTAAATATTAGACAACGTTAATTCACAATGAACTCGAAAGAATATGAATGATAAACATCTGCTCTAGTAATAGTATTTTTAGTAATTGTACCCTATTTTTTAAACAAAATATTAATTTTTATCACTGTATGTTTTGTTCATAACAAATAGTTAATCACTTTTAACTTGACTTCGAATAGATTTCAGTTAACTTTAGTGATCGTTGCAACAGTCCAACTGCTATTGTGCAGGTATGGATATGGTCATATAATTTAGAAGTTTTGTTAGGTTTGACCTAATCAATAGATCCTTACTTTACACTTTTTCCATACCTACCTTCATTAGGCTACTGACCTTCACAATATTAGTTCGACCCGTCATATGACTGCTAAGTTTCTTGATTTATATATCTAGATGGTTAATATTCCATGCTTTTAAAATTTACCAGTTAATCGCAAGTATGTTATATGATTTAAACAGATAGATAGAACCTTACATAATGATCAAGTAAATGTGATCCTAAAGGAATTATTAGGTATGGTTTAAAAACTTAGTTATTTCATTCATCAAACAGGGATACAAATTGAACTTTAATACAATCAAATAACACAAATAGTGTGATACGTATAGATTCGTTCAATGAACTACATGATGAAATAATTATGTTGGAGATGAGTTATAATACTTAATGGGTTAAAACTGATGAGTTACAAACCGGATACTCAATCAATAAGAGTCAACTGACCTCAAAAGTGAATTATGTTTTCGTAGTTTACGCAGATGTTTTTCATTATAACATTAAAAATATGGGATTTGTGGAGGTTATTAAATTCTGTTGATATCATTAATCTACCTAAGTGAGACAACTACTGAAAACCAATAAGCATTGAACTTTGTTTCGTTGTATTATGAGACTCCACAGCAGTGTGCGTCCAATATCTTACCACAGGTAATCGAACCAAAGACCTTTGGTCTGATATGTGAGTGCTTAACCTCTAAACTGCTGAACCAGTATCTAGCAGTGTAGATGTTTAACTTCAATCAATTTTTATGATTATACATGACCATTTCATACCTGCCCCGCACTCGACAGGGTTAGACGCCTCTGGTCAACGATTTTAACTAGAACTCCGAAAACTCACTCTCAAAGTTAGTCATCAGTGAGTACATGATAACTATCTGCAATTCTTACTTAATCAAAATACGTATCGTAATTGTGGTGTCATCACAGTTCAAGAATCTTGGTTGAATGATTTACAGGATGACTGCCTTGTATCACTACGTGATTTCAAAATTTATCGTCAGGATCGATCGAACAATAAAAAGAGGTGTGGTGGCGGTGTAGCTACGTTTGTAAACATAAACTGGTGTCCATCTTCGTTTGTGTGTTTTAAGTTTTCAAATGATTTTATCGACTGTCTAACTCTAAGATGTCGTCCAAAACATCTGAATAAATACAAATATGTTTACGTGACCAATATCTACGTGACTCCAGATTGCACATCATCTGCACTATCTGTTTTTGCTGATGAATTCACTGAGTTCGCTGTTACTGCCTTCAGTGATTCACTTTCAGTTGTATGTGGTGATTTCAATTCATGTGACTGTAGCTTCCTTACGTCACTAGGTCACCAAAATGCAGTAGATTTTCCTACCCGTCTGGATGCTCATCTAGACTTCGTCTTCATTAATGATGTGGGTATATATGCGACTCGTAAACGTGCTCCATTGTCTAGCTCAGATCACTGTATAATTCGTGTTCTACCTAAAGTATATGGAAAGCATGGGAAGAGTACACTCTTACATCAAACCAAGAAAGTCAAATATAGGAATTACACAGAAGAAAATATCCTAAATCTGAAAAACATGTTTCATACGACTAACTGGGAATTATTTACAGATGACTCACTCGAAAACACTACTGATGTTATCACTTGTTACCTTAAATTCTGTTTTGATATTTGTTGTCCCACCGAAACCATTTTTGTAAGTTTTGATCGACTTACATCTTCACAACTAAAACGACTACGAAGGATGAAAGAAAGCATGTACAAGGAGAAGAACTCAAATGAAGTTCGTAAACTAAATGGTCTGATAAACCTAGAGATTAGACGTCTCAACTGTATGTTTACTCAAAAGCTCTTATCTTGCAAAAACTCTCCAAGTATGTGGAAATTCTTTAAAGAACTTACAGGTGACAGAAAGTTTAGAATTGATAACCAGCTGAATGTTAGTGACTTAAATAAGTCTTTTGTACGTCAGTCATCTGATGTGATGCTCCCTCTATCCACGGGTTTAAAAACTAGCTGTGTTCCTACTTTCACTGAAACTGATGTACGAGGATGTCTCCAGTCGCTTAATTCATCTCGATGTTTGGGACCTGATGGTATCCCAAACATCCTTTTTAAAAAATGTGCTGACGTTCTGTGTCATCCGTTCACAATTATATTTAACAGATCCTTCTCATCTAATCTCATACCGAAAGTGTGGAGAAAGATGAAGATAATTCCTGTACCCAAGAAAGCATTTGGTGATAAGAATGTAAAATTTAGACCTATTGCAATAACTTCACCCTTCCTCAAAACCATGGAAAAATTATTAATTCTTCCACTTCAGCCTGCGATAAAAGAGCATACTGACCCATACCAGTTTGCATACAGGCGCAAAAGAAGCACTTTAGATGCTGTTGCAGTTCTGCATCACAACATAGTGTTCAACTTAGAAAAGGGTAAGAAGTATGTTCGATGTACTTTTCTGGACTATACTTCAGCTTTTGACTCTATACCAAGACAACGATTACTTAACAAGTTAATCAGCGTCAACACTGACAGCTGGATAACCAACTGGCTATGTTCCTACCTCTCTGGAAGGGAACAATACACTGTGTTTGGAGGAAAGAGTTCAGAGTCTCTACTGTCTCATGAAGGTGTACCACAAGGAGCTGTTCTTTCACCTCTTCTATTCTCTTTTTTTCTGCATGATCTGCCATCTTCCACAGAAAACACTTTTGTGAAGTATGCGGATGACCTCACTGTATGTATGCCTATATCTTCCTCTTTACATCCCATAGAAATGAATGAGTTTTTGTCTCGTATTGATTGTTGGTCTGTTGGTAATGGTCTCATACTTAATCCGTCTAAATGTCAAGCTGTTAACTTTAGCATGAGACATAAACGGAATATAAACACTATTTTGAGATCCCATAGTGCTTGTACCATCGGAGACTCTTTGATAAACTCAGTGTCGAAGGTCAATTATCTTGGTGTCACCTTTTCCTCTGATCTGTCTTGGTCTTCCCACGTTTTATCGTTATCGAAGAAGGTTTTCCGTCTGACCTATTACATAAAGAGATTGCATGCTCTTGGAATTACTCGTCATTTACTCTTACAATTTGTCAATTCTTGCATACTACCTATTATTCTTTACTGTTCTCCATTATTCTTTCCCGGGCTTTTGAGAAAAGACTTTGCTGTATTGCGAAGAGTGCTGAAGGCAGTTAGCAAGGTGTGTGGTGTATCTTTCGAGGTCATAATTAATATGGTTGTGGATAGACATTTAAAATCATGCAAACTCCTGGCAGGTGTCATTTTATCAGATACTAGCCATCCCCTTCACTCTTATCTTTCTCCTTGTATATCTTCTGGTAGAACGAGACGTAATTACATTAAAATCCATGCACGCAAGCAAAAGTACAAATGTTCTATAATACCTTATCTAGCAAATATACTCTGTGACGAACAGGTTGTTAGAGTTAACCTAGCCAATAACCTGCATTCTTAACATGACTTTAATTTCAAATGTTGTACTGTTTTTCAGATTTTTTTTTTAAACTTTATTTTTTTGTCTTTGTTACTATTTTTGTTTGCATAAGTAACTTGTTGAAATACCCTGTGCTGAGAATTCTATATTGTACCAAAATATAATATTGAATAAAGCCATTAATAATAATAATAATAATAACTAACAATATAGGAGACTAAACAGTTATCCAATGATTTCACTTTTCAAATAGTTGTTTAACCGAACTTTTTTTAAATTTATATATATATATATATATATATATATATAGTATTAAAATAAAGTTTTATTATAATTTTCTTTCCTAACATATATAATCTTTTTAATCTTTTATTCACATGTTTGATATTCGAAATATATTTGCCCATTCATTGGTAATATGTTTATACAAAAATATATCTATATTCATGATTAAATATACTAACAAACGTACCCAATCAATAATTTACAGTCAGCTAAACAATATATGGAAACACATGGAACAGGAATGGGTAAGAATTTATTGATTATGCAAATGAGATAATATTTCTGAATTTTGTTTTCTTAACACTGAACATTTTCTTCTTAATATCTAGTAAACTGACTAACTGTTTGATTTATACAATGAATTATCATTAAATGATTATTATCACAGTTATTGACTTGTTTCATTTTATCTATCAGGTTATTTTTTTAAAATGTAATTTCTTTCAGTGTAAACAAATTCAAGTGTTTGTTTGTTTTTGTCATTTAAAGTGGATAAAATGAAAAGCTCAAATTTATATTTATATACTACCTTAGCGAACGATTATAGAAATTTCTGTTACTTATTCTCAAGTGTATTTATATGTATATGAATGCTTCAAATGGATTAAAACTGCTCATTTGTATCTAATTTTTACAACGTAAAATACATCCATCATATAGCTTTTTGTTTTGTTGAAAAGATATTTATTATCTACTAGAAACAATCAACTAAAATCTATTGCTGTTTGAAATTAGTTTGATAATACTTATTTTAACAAATCGTAGTACCTTACAACAAAGTTCAATCCAGTATTGCGATGAGATAGGTGTTGGAGGTAGACGACAACAAACTCTGAACCAAGGTTTAGTGCTATTTGGTGCTCAACAGCAAAATGTGTCTGTTATCTTGAGGAAATTGATGCTTCCTGATAAATAAATTATGAAGACAGCTGAATCTTTCAGCATGTTAATCGAGGCCCGGATAGCTCAGTGGTAATGTCATTAACTAGGAAGATGGGTGGCACGTGATCGAATCCGTCAAAGAGCATCAGTTCCCTCAAGATTACATGTACGCCTTGCTAACGAGTACTATATAGCACCAAACCTAAACTCTGGGTTTTATGTCGACTATCTTCAATCACCATCTCATATTAACATAGTGCGTGAGAAGTTGAGTCACCTAGACCAGTGGCCACACCTCAACTTGGTGGAGGAGATTTGTGGCTCAGGTGGATGATTTTGATGGAGTTTTGTAAACCGAAGACAGTTTAGGATTCAAACGAATCATTATATAGAATGAGCTTAAGTATTCCTCATTTTATAATAAATATACGTTTTTTTTATGTCATTTAGTTGAAATATTTAATATGGACTTTCTATTCTAAACTAAAGAAATAATAACTTATTGACTTCTAATAAGAGATTTTTTGGTAATGATGGTCCTGTAACAAGACTAAAAGGCTATATATTCTGATCTAAAAGTAGTTTATATTGTGTACTATTAATAAGTTCTGGTTTGTTACATGTAAACATCAACTGAAAGCTGTTCAAATTAATTAGCAATGGTAATACTATCAACTTTTCGGAAATGTCCATCTTTAAACATAAATTGGAATTTTTCAATATATAGCAGTAACCAAAAGTGGGATATCTGCCAGTAGAAGATTGAATTGAAGAGAACAGGAAAGGAAACAGAAAGCAATTGTAATAACAACAGAATTAACTGAATCATGAATCATATAAAAGACAGCTGAACAAAGATGTACAAATAATGTATTCAATGCATGGTTTTCATATTTTACGAATGCACTCTATAATTTTGCATTAAACCATAAATTTTTTTATCCCCATTAAGTCTTCGTTCACTACATATATATATCATAAAAACTTTTCTAAATATGTTGAGAACATATAAAAATAAACAGTATTCGGAAAGAGATATAATCATTAAAAAGATATCGGTAGTTTTTAACTAGAGACATTATTAAATGAAGTCTTTATTTGAATACCATCAGATCAACTTTGACTATATCAATGAAATTTCAGCTTTGTTTTATTTCTCTGCTAATGTTTAGTCATTTCCATACGATTGAAAATATGTCAATCTTCTTATTAATAAACTATGTTATAGTTAAGAACTATTTTTTCTAACATTTTATTTATAGGTGAATCAGAAACTTATGCTATATTATTTCAACATACACCTTGTTATGATCTGGTTCCAGATAGTGCGAAACTTATTTTATTGGATAGTCAATTAACTGTAAGTTGATGTTATCTATACTTTTGTTTATGTTAATACACAACTTATTAGTTGAATTCATGAATCAATTAAAGCTAGACCACTATGGAAAACCTAAAAGTACTAAACAGTGGCGTCATTTCGTCAATTGGTTGAAATTAGACATTAACACCATTGGCTGTCAACTCAGTAGCCTAGAGGATAAGCGTTTGCGCTCTAGACCGACAGGTTATGGGTTCTAATCCCGCGAACGGGATCATGGATGTGCACTGCTGAAAAGTCCCATACTAGAACGAAGCAGTCGATCAGTGCTTCCAGGTTTTCCATGATGGTCTAGTTTTAATTGAATCATGAATTCAACTATTAAGTTACTATAATATCCACGAAACCCCTTTCTAATTATAATACATGACTAACGATAAATGAATGGAAAGTAACTTTTCAAAACTATGTATAACAGTAATATCATTTACTTAATCGAGAAATAATACTCAATAAGAATATGATCAATACACTTTTTTAAAAGTGTACTATACTTTACAATTGTTCATTTTCTAAATTAAATTTAAAATAGAGCCCCTAAATGCCCTGGCATGGCTGAAAGTGGGATGGGCCCACCCTCCCTCTCGAAATGCTCTCACACGACCACGCGCATACAGCCTCTGCCGGGGAAATCTTACTCACTGCCTTCTCGTGGCGGGGGTGTTGTTTACAAAATTGAGAGACAAAAAGCGAATGTTCGGCGCTTTAATCGGATCGCAAACCAATGGTGCATATGGGCTCCAGTATCCTGCGGGAAAAAATGGAGTATGAACCAATCGTTGGTCACCGGCTACTATGGGACTGCATCTCCTTACGATGCTTCACTGCCTTGTGGGTCAGTCCTCCAGGTCAACGGCTCGGGGTGTGGCCCCCTAAGATATGAAGTAAATATCGACAATTTGTAAAGATCAATGAGTATTCTTTTGAAGACTTAATAATTTATAAATATCTGCAATTTATGTAATTAGTACATTTTGAATAGTTATTAATATTTCTTATTCATCGTTTTTAATAAAGCAATTGCATCATCGTATCTTCGTACATAATCCATAATACACAGTAATTTTATTAGTTACTTTCAACTAAAATACTATGCTGAACGTAATAATTTATTCTACTGAAATCCATTAATACTTGAATAGGGATAGATTTTTGTTAACTTACACAGAGTTCTTCATTGAGGCAGGATGCAAATATAAATGAGTTAGAAATCAAACTGGTAACATTCTGTCCAGTGTATGAAGTTTTAACTGACTCTAAAACTGAAATAAATCTATAATGTATGGGCTATCTCAATAACTTGTATAACTTGTTCAAAACGGATAAACGAAAATATAAATCACTCTGAATTGAAATATGTCGTGAGTCTTAATAAAAGAATAGTCTAAATACTTACTAATAGTGGTATAAACATGATGTCCATCGAAACATTTTATGGCTACCTGTACTCAGTTTCTCAGTGGATAACATCCATCTAATAAGTCCCAAATAAGATGAAACACTTTTCTTTGAGTTTACTGCTAGCAACATTCTATCTATCCTAAAATAAGACTTTCTTTTCAAAAAAAAACTTTATAACTGATTCTTTTCTTTCGAAATCAAAATATACAAATTTTAAGAACTTTGAGGTTGTTTTGCATCTTGCAGTATGACATATTCTTCCTCAGTAAAGTAGGATGTTGCATTCAATCTAGTAAATTCAGGAAAAAAGCAAAAAACCAAATTAATTTCATCATTCTGTTCAGTAATCTATGTCAGGTATTTCTAAATTATCGATTGTTCAGCCCTAAAGTAAAATATGATAGTATAGCATATGATGCATGTAGCTGTCGTTCAATAATAAAATGTCATAAAAAGATTTGGTTGTCTTTAAGAAAAAACTCCTTAGTTCATAACTCATACCTAGGAAATATTCAAATGTACAGTTCACTTACCAATAATAGTCAGTAGAAATGCTTACTTACTAGAGCAGTCATAGGTGGCATATATTCTCACGAAACAAATGCAGCACACAGACTTAATATATAAATATCATCAACCTCAATCGTTCTTAATGAATTTATGAATGAATTGTACACGTCACTTAGTCTTTATTTATATACAGAACAAATCATTGCTTGAATAAACCAAATGCTATTCTACTCCTTATTTGTTTGATTATCACGCTATTCGATATCACATTATTTGTTTTGATAACAATAAAGTGTAAACTTATCATACGGTCAAATTGTTTGGAATGTTTGATTACGAGGTACATATTCTAGATAATATTTCTCACTTTTTCACACTATATATAATGTTTGTGTATTCAACTTCTTGAAAAAACTCTTTTATTTAAAATAAGCAACGCTTATTGAACTGGAATATGAAAAATAATTTGTTTGTATTCAACACTAAAGTGTACGCGTATTTAAACATATTTAGACAAATATTTTGAGCATATTAAATCGTCAAAAAAAAACAAATAAGCAAAAATAATATGTAGCTAACATTGTTTTTGAATTTAAAATGATCTATGAAAATAGGATAGTTATTAATAAGACCACACTAATTCATAAGTGGATTAAAATCGAAACATTAACAAGTCGTGATCAATGGAGCTAATCCGTGTCGGATAGAAACAGGTATCTACCTCAGTACAATGGAAAATGGTCGCGGAATTTCGTGGATTGGTTGATGTTAGACACTAACACCACTGGACGCTGGCTCAGTGGTCCAGTAGGTTAAGCGTTCGCGCGCAATACTGAAGGCCCTGAGTTCGAATCCCGCGAGCGGGATCGTAGATGCGCACAATAGGAAGAAACGGTCGTCCAGTGCTTCGAGGTTTCCAGCGGTGGTCTAACATCAATCGGTTCATGGTTACAATCAAAAACTTAATAATCTCCACAAATCCTTTACCGAAACATAAACAAATAGATCACCACTCAGTGAATAATGTATATCGTGCTTGACGATTCAGAGTTTGATTCTGAGCAAATGTTGTACGTGTAAACTGTTTATGAACCAGATAGTATGATAAAACATTTAACCAATCGTATTTAGTTAGTAATTTGTTTGTACATGACGGTTGATTCTCAGAACACATTAAAAATATTACAATAATTTTATTATAATTGAATTACGAAAATTCTAAAAAAGAATTAAATAATGCATATCTACATAACATGTAATAAATGTTGTGTACATTCTGTTGTATAGGATTTGCAGTATTCTATATTAAACAATAAATTGTAAACTTTTGATAAAAGTGAGTAATTAAATAAGTAAATTTATTTAAAATTACTATTGGGATTAAACATAAACAATGGAAAATGCTGTTGCTACATTTAAAAATTTTGAAATACATGGATTTATATATTTCAGTCAGTCAGTCAGTCAGTAACAACGTAGAACTTCGTACGTATGTACATCAGTTCGAGTTGTCATACCACATTAGCACAGAGATGCAGTTGTCGATTCAAATCCCGTAGTGGTAGAGATAGTAAAAGTATGAGCAGTAATCGGAAACATTAGGGTTTGAAGATGTTATTCAAGGAGTGTAATCCAGTGAAATAAATTTGGAAAGAGAAAAAGAAAAGGGGCAGAAAGAATACAGAAGATTAGAATTTGGGAGAACACAAAAAGTGGATGTGCCTGCGCGATTGCAAACGATTTTGAGCCATGTCATTCAAGGTCTGTAACCATCAGTTGCTATCATCTCGCGGTCCCCAACCAGGTAGTCTACACCTACCAACATGGCTCAGTCCACTTCTCAGTGACTTCATGGACTTGTGCCATGTAACATTATGTTTATGTATAATAGTCAAATAAAACAAACAAACAAAAGCATTGGATTCTCATGGTAATTACGTATAATTTTCTGCATAAATGAACAAATAAAAGAAATAAATATGAGTTTTTGATACTGTAACAATGTTAACCTGTTTGTATAGTTCTCAAAATGACAATCATTGTACCAAATATTTATTTGTGGTAAGATAGTGAACTAACTAAATGAAGTAAAAAATCGATTTCCCAGTATATACACTAAAAACAATACACGTTAAAAAAAATTACAAAAAACAAAAAGATAAAAAAAGTATACTGCAAAAATGTATAACATTTTAAATATCCGTGCTTGGATTAAAAAGAGACTGAATCACCTAATATAGAACAAAAAACAGATTATAACGGTAATGATGGCACGACTTAATTTTCTTTGATTTGCTATTTACTGTTGATAAATATATCCTTGGCGAACTTTCCAAAGAAACTAGATTCTTTCATACAAACACTAATTGATAGTAAATATTTCTACTTATTACGGTTATACTTCACCAACAACAAACAATTCAATGAGTTACTTTTATGGTATTCTTGTGCAAATCATACTCACTTTGATCCTTAACTGGAACTAGAGCACTTTATAAATTAGTAAACATTAGTTATGTATACAATCCTAATTTCAAACACCTTAGAAATGGGCCTTCTCAACGTTAAGCTAAATCAAATCCATGACCTTTGGGTATTGTTACGATCAATATACCATTTATTAACTTTCAATTACATTTAAAGTCATTAGTTTGTGTTATAAATTTTAATATAGCAATGACGAGATGAAGTTGACCTGAAAAATATGATATATTTATTTTATACATTTTGTACAATCTTTTCATAAATATACCTTTCAAAGCATCTTATTTTCAAATAAACTTGATCTTCTCATTGTTCTATCAAAGTTCGGTTGAAACTGTTATCATCAATTAACAAAGAAATAAACTGTATTTTTAACATTTATCCATAATTTTATTATTTATCAATTGTTTTATTCATTAGATAGGTAAAGCATTTAAAGCACTTATTTACAATGGTATACGTGCTGCACCAGTGTGGAATTCAAAAATCAAAATTTTATTTCAATGCTTACTGTAACTGATTTTGTACAAATGTTAAATTATTGTTGGAATCAAACTGTACCATCGAATATTGATGAATTGAAGAATATACAAATTGATGATGTGGATCAAATAACAATACAGCAATGGAAAGGTAAGTTTATATACATGAAATATCAATTCTTTTTAATAATGTTGAGTAGAATAGAAATCTGTGAGAGTGATTACTGGAGTAAACATGTAGTGAACGAGATCTTAGGTGGAAACAACCAATTTATTATTTAATACAAAGTCGCAGAATATCTTCGAAAAATATAAGAACCATACGTCAAATACATCGTTTGTAAAATCTTTCATGAATTATCCTTTTCATTCTGTCTGATTCTTCCAATTTACCTTTTGTTTCTATTTCCCCTTCTGTATTCTTCAACTCGATTTTCTTAGCCTTATGCTGCTAGCTATTCATATTTTGGTTGGTGTTACAGTCTACTTATGTTCGGCGATATATTTAGCATACGCCAAAAATATATGTTAAAATGTTAGTCAGAAATAGTGAATAAATGAATAAACGTATACATATATATAAAGCACACGCTATCAGACTAGATAATTTTTATTGTAAATAAGAGATTGACTGATGCTGTCCAGTCCTAGTTTTAACTTTCTGTATCATTTGTTGCTCAGCATGATTCATTGTGTAATAAAAGATCTTAAAATTCTTTGAAGGTTAACAGATAACGTGAATCAAATGATTTATGTCATATGATGTTAACCGTTTCTCATTATTAAAAGAGCTGATTGTGCATACTACTGTTAACTCTGAACTTGATATAAAATAACTCCCACATGTGACCTATTTCACAATTAGCATTATAAAAGTTACGGGAGAACTATTTTGCTTAACAAATGTATTTGTTTCTGGAACCTTATTAATATTCTTCTAGGTTTATTGTTTATCAATAATACATTTTCAATTCAGCAGTTAAAAGTATTTTATTTAAATCAGGTGTTAATAATCACTATCTAACTGTTTTTATAAACAATTAGTATTGGAAATATATTTGTTTATGTACATTGAAGGTCTTATTTGTAAAGAAATATTTATCCCCTCATAATAGGTTATTATAGAAGCAAATCGCGTGCTATATCTACATGTGATAAACGTGATTTCGAAGTCATTCTTTTTATGCATATTATGCTATAAAACCTTTATGAATCTATATACACATAGCATTAGTTGTGCTATTTTAACATTAAAATATTTACATATTATATCCTGAAAAAAACTAATCCTTTTTCAGTATTCGTTCTTGATACTTAGTATACTTGAGGTGTAACATCCGTTTTTAAACTTTAATGTTATTTATCAGTATCGAGTTGTGGAGATTATTGAGTTTCACTGAAATCATGAACCCATCAATGATAATTATCACGTGTTCACTAGTGAATAACTTCGGGAGAGAATTCTCCGAATTCTGGTGTGAAGCCGTGACCAGTGGAGTTCAACTCTGTTGAGTAATTACTCAAAAAAACAATGCAACATGATCGAGAAATATCGTGGATTGATTGAAGTTGGAAATTACCATCATCGGATACCGGATCAGTGGTGTAGAGTTTAAGCGTTTGAGCACTTAAATCGAAGGTGCAAGATCATAGATGCGCAGTAGTGAGAAGTTCCATACTAGGAGGAAATGAACGTTCAGTGTTTCCAGGTTTTGAATGGCGTTCTAGGATTGATCGGTTCATGACTTCAGTTTGAAGGTATTTGTCTAACTTCATGAATAAAGTTAATTTGCATTTTATTTAAATTCAACCGTTTAAAAGAGTGTTTTATTTACTTTCTTTTAACTGACGAACGAAATAGTGGATTGGTTCCCGGGAATATATCTACATAGAATGCCACTTTACAGGTTTCCTTATCGTTTGAATGACTATTACGCTTCCCAAAGTAGGCTGATACAAACAATTAGAAATGGATTGAAACCAGAACTGTAAGGCAGTGGGTATTAGCTAACTGTTTAAATCATTGATGCGCTCATCACGAGAATCGAAAGTTCCAAATTTAACATCTCACTAGATGATATTTCGCATTTCTGAAAGATCTCCTTCAAATTATGAAACAAATAATTAGATTTACTGTGTTGATGATACGTTTGTAGTTGAAGTCAACTCATAAAATAAACTATCATTGATTTAACTATTCTCCATGAATTTCCTTTCTTAATTAAAACGATCATCAAGTTAAACTCATAAACTGTATATAAGATTTTGTTTGCACATGGAGAGAGAATATATATATATATATATATATATATAAACTCAGTAATTATATATATATCATCCAAAGCCCCCAAATGTCCTGGTACGGTCGAGAGTGGGGAGGTTCAGCACTCCCCTCGAAATGCTCTCACATGGCCATGTGCATACAACTACTTCCAGGGAAGTTCTACTCACTGCCATCTCACAGCAGGAGTGTTGTTTACGAAATTGAGAGGACGAAAAGTGAATGTCCGGCGTTTCAACCGGGTCGTTGGATATGTATCCACAGAACGTATGTAGATAAATTTAGGCAAATCAAATCATAAAACAATTTTTGGTTAGATTGGCTGTTGAATGAATTTTTGAAGATGTTATAAATTGATACATTTATCAAATCATACAGTCTACAAGTGTCTATTATCTTCCAAACGATATATATATGTTAGAGTTGATGGGGGTCTTGTTTATTTCACATAACGCCGTATACAAACAAATGAGATTATAACTAAGTGTAATTGCTGAAATAATATGAAAATAAGTGATTGTGTAAATCCTTTTCTCAGTATATGGTTGTGAAGACTGTTAAGTTTTTGATTGAGATCATGAATTGATCAATGTTACACCATCAGTGAAACCTGAAAGTACTGGACGACCGTTTCGTCCTAATGCCGGGCTCCTCAGTAATGCGCGTCCACGATCTCGCACGCGTAATTCAAACCCAAAACCTCCGGTCTCGCGAGCGAACGCTTAACCTCTGGACCATTGAGCCAGGATACATCGACCGTTCAGTGCCTCCAGGTTTTCAATGATGGTCTAACATCGATCGATTCATGATCCAAATCATTTAAGTTAACTAACAATATTTTTGAGATAATATTAAAGTATGTTACTAGAAACTATAAAATATAATTGTTTGAAATCTCTGGAATAGTATAAACTAATTAGGATTATCATCATTAATTACAATACTTGCGGTTTTATCAAGAAACACTACTCAATCTACAGTGTTATGCATAAACATCGTCTGTCCTTAACCAGTTCAAATCTTATTATTGATTACCACAGTTATGCATATTAGTGTTGATCTTCATAAGATAATGAAACTTAATTATTTGCATTCAAAACGAATATAGAATAGAAAAAAACTTTAATAACCAACTATCGGTTTGTATGAGTGATAATAGTTAAAAGAATAATCCTATAATTAGTTATTCACTCATTATTACTTTTTCAAGGCCATCAATTGGCGTTTATTTAAAATGGAAACTTTCAAATAAATTTTATATTAATCATCGAAGTTAAAATATCTGGGAACATATATATATTTAAATAATAATATTTTTTAGATATGCTCATAGCTGACAGGACACATCGTTTATCATTACAAATTACATCGTCTACTGGTAAAAATGTGGACAAATCAATGAATAAATCTCATACTAGTGTTAATTGTACAACATCCTGGCCACCGTCAATCAATACATCATCGTCGTCATCAAGTTCACGTTTAGCATCTAGTAATGGTGACAGTGATAGTAATAGCGGTAGTAGTAATGACAGTGGGAGTGATAGCAGTAGTAGTAGTAGTATTAGTAGTGGTAGTAGGAGAAGCATCAGCAGTCGTTCTAGTACAAAGTCATTATCCTCGGACCTTCCAGTAATACAATTATCATCTACCATATCAAATCAAAATTTGTCTGACAATACAGTGAAATGTACATTGGATGATAATGAAAACAATGTTGGCGATGTGGAAATGAGAACTCAAAGTGATAACACTTCTATCAATAAAAACAACCAAACACTATGTTTTCTGAATAAACCAATACAGAATATTTTTCCTGTGCGTTTATTTATCTGTGATCCAGAAGAATCTATTTTTAAAGCTTTACGATTATTGTTAAGATTTCGATTACATCATTTGCCAATTATGGATTCGCCTTTCGATGGATGTGGTAATATATTGTATGTACTTACTCAACGTAAACTATTGACGTATATGTTTGAAAAATTGAATAAGTTACCTCAACCAAGATTTTTACAAGTAAGTTATCATTTTAATACAAGTGTTTTTTAATTCCTTAAGTTTAATTTCAGTAATCAAGCATAATTTCTAACAAATCAAAAGTTAGTGACTAAAACTCTAAAGTGTAACAATGTGGGTTCAAATTCAACCACGTCCCAAATAGATCTTCATTGATTAAGACTGAAAATTGCAGAATTTAGATAAGTGGCAACTTAATCAATAGTTAACAAAACACACCGCCTAAGTTTCCTTTCTTATTCCCCAAATAACTTAATTTTAAAAGTTGGTTACAGAACATAAAGCGTACGGATTAAAAACTATATTGCTTACCAACTAATCAGTTCATGCAAATGTTATAACTTGTGGCCTTGTGCCCTATTAATATATATAACGTAATGATACCGCAAATTAGAGAACAGTGAATTATCGACCGGATCAATGACGCATAAAACTCGTACGAGCAGTCTTGAGTCCTTATCGGTCGTTCTTCCTGCCTAGCCCTGACTTAAATATAGAACAACGATCTCAGCCTCTGCGATAAGAATCATGTATTTCAAACATACTAGGTTTATATACAAACCAAACAGACCACATCGTACCATAAAATAGAAAATAACATTTGTACAAGATCTAGACAAAAGTGGCTGTGAATGTGGAAGATAGTAATTAATAGACGGGGCATAATTGAAGAACAGCAAGTCGTACAATAATAGTCTGTGGGTCAAAGTAAAGCTTGTAATAAGAGGAGTATAGATGTACACAATCCAGTTACTGAATAGTTATACATTAAAAATAAATGTATAATATTTGTCCATAAATAGTTCTCAAAAGTTACCATCCATAATTCTTGCCGGGATATAACAATTAATTTCGTTCCTTTTTACACTAAAGCTAAATGTGAATAATCATGATATCTTTCAATGAAATCAAGCATAGTTCTTTGAAAATAGATTTTGAAAATTACTGCCACTTGTTATTTTCTTCTAGTTAGTTGACAGTTAACCAGTAAACACATATCTTATTAAGGTAGTTAAATGATGAATAGTTGAAAGCAAAAGAACGGTTTCTTGTATATTATTATTCATTCTAAATAAATAGTTAATAGATGTATTGATGCAGTAAATTAATCTTTTGACACAACGTTTATAAATCTGTTCAAACATAAATATACAAATAAAGAAGGTCGAATCTAGAGGAAAGAATAGATTACTAGTCTGTATTCATTCATGGTTTGAACAGTTTCCTATTTATTTACTGAAGCGTGAAGATTGTTCTAATAGCGATCAATTTTCTGTTAAATACTTACACTTGCTTATTCTACTACTGAATTCTCATGCATAAATCAATCAATTTTTCTAACATTAATTGAACTTTTTGATCATTTACCCGGTTTATAAATGAAGTTTAGCGAGGTTAATTACCTAAACAATATGTAATCACAAAACGTGACTATTTTAGTAGGATTTTTTGCCATAAAATATCCTTAAATGACAACTTAAAATAACTATTCCATATTTACAAAGTCGTTATGAGTATGCAAAGACTATTTATTGATAGCTGATTATTCATAGACATACGTAGACATAGACATTCATACTAACTAACTAAGAAGTACATGTTTTGGGAATGCATTTTTTTCGGGAAGAACACTGTATCTTTGCCTAACTGTATTTGATCAACATATTGATGGTTTGATTGTCAAGTGTATTTTAACGCTATTGCTTCTTTTTCACTGAATAGATCAGTTATGAGGCTTCCATCACCTTTTGTTAGAAAATCATCAACATAAATGTTTCCTCCATCACAAAATCAAGTGTATGCCTATCACTAACAACTTAAAAAACGTGCTTTTGCTCCAACTCTGGTGTATGCAAACAGTCAATACTTCACGGATACATTTCAATTCATAAGAAAAAGCACATGTAATATGTATTATGTAATGAAATTCAAAAATTTCCTCATTTTGTGACAGCGGTTCTTCCGAAAAACGAAATGGATTGCACAAAGCAATAAACTATTAAACAGTAAGAGAATTTCGTTAGTTAAATATGAATAAAACTGAAACATGAATATCACACTCTATCCACATCACTAAAGATTAAGTAGGATATACGTTTAACATCTATAGGGGTCTGATAAAGAGATTTAAGATATTAACCGTAAATGCATGATTCACTATTTATGTATATTTGTCACACAGATTTTATGAATTTGAATCAGCTGGAGACATGGCTTAGATAGGTGGTAAAGAGAAAAAAGTTCACTTTCATATAACTTAGTACAATGTAACATTTTATTAGATGGCCTAGCTACCTATCGTTACTTATGATTCATAGAATATATTTCAAGTCTTTTTGTCCACTTAGATTAAACAATGATGTGTGACAATGAATAATCGATCTTCATTGTTGCTACCCTTTTAGTAAATGTTAATTCCAAGTAAATTTCCACCTTCATCTTAGATTATGATTTTTTAAACTTAAAAATTCAATACTTAACCATTTAATAAATCTGAAAGTGTTTAGATAGTGTTAGTTACATTTAATAACTCCGTAACTGTTTTAGGGTTCACAGTTACATTTTTTAAATGGTGGAATAATTTGTAATGGTGTATAACACATTATTATGTTAGATGAGCAAAGGCAAACAAATCAATTCAAGCAGCCACTGAGTTTATGACTAAACGATATCAGGTGGTTCGAATTTCCAGTTGGTAATTCAGGATGATCATAACCGATGAACGAATATGGTGGGTGAGATAACTGAAGGTTAACTATGGTATCACAGTTTTGTCCATTCTATGTTTCTCTAGCTCTTACATTCGAACTATTATTTCATAGAGATCATGAACCAATCAATCAAAGAACACCAAAACCTGGAAGCATCCAACGTCCGTTTTCATTCAGTACGGGACTTCTCAGCAGTGCGTACCTACGATCCCACACTCGAGAATAAAACTCATGACCTTTGATCTAAATGCAAAAACGCCTATACTCTACACCACTGATCCGGTATCCAATCATGTCAACGTCTAACTTCAATCAATCCACGATATTGTGCAATCATGTTGGATTGTTTTTGTTGAATGACTGTCTCACACTCAACACAGTTGAACTCCACCGGTCACGGCTTCACACCAGAATTCGAAGAATTCCCTCTTGAAGTTATTCAATAGTGAACGCATGATGATATCTTTTCTATTTTTATTTCATTTGTTCTTGTCGAACTGTTCTTCTAGTTCAATGTTTTACTATCATTTATACTCTTTTCACTTTATTCTTATTACTTTCCCTTCATTACGGTAATATGAATTGTAGGAACCGGGATTGACAGATAGTTTTGGTCAAAATTCATAATTTTATAGAAAACCGATTGAAATCACCATGTCAGTACCCACTAAAATCTCCACAAGTTGTAATAGCATGTAACTAATTATGTTGTCACATAAATGTAAACGATTTAATAAATGTTTAAGGTTTTTCCTCACCATTTTTAAAATCTCAACCGAAATAATAAATTAAAAAAGAGTTGAAGCTGATTAAATAATTGTATTAGAGTTCATGATAACATATTTTACATTACCTCATGACAAAAAAAACATTTTCTCAGTAAATGAATTTTCGGTGAGACCATAATTTATGGACGACTTTTGGGCGACACTGAAGTGACCTTAGGAATGTCCACCTCCTTACTAGGGCTAAATAATGGTTATAAAACAGTTTGAAGAATAAGGATTATGATTTACAGTTGATGGTTAGGGTTAGGAATTAGATTTATGGTTTTCATCTCGAACTGACATCAGCTAAAATGAATTTCGCGCCAAAATCCGAGGCCTGTCATCTTAAATCTGATTGGTTCGTCCATAAATTATCGTCACACCGAATTTTGTTTTTAGATATTTATAAAAGTTGACTGAATTTCTGTATTATTTCCTTCTTTCTTTTTAATTTAGTCAAGTTTAACAGATTTGAATATTGGAACGCATGGATCCATTTTATTGGTTACACCATCTACTCGTCTGGCTGATGCACTTTTATTATTTCGAGAGAATTGTGTAACTGCTTTACCAGTTGTAGATTCAATAACTAATCGTCGTTTAGTTAATATATTTTCAAAATTTGATGTATTCGTAAGTGTAACTTGTTGATTTTCTTTTTATGTGTTTAAACTTTACTGTTATATTGTTAACAGTAAATTTAATCTCTGCATTAGTATACAGATTACCAGTGACAGTAAAGAAATATACAATTTTAGAGAACGATGATTTTTTTTGTACACGATTGTGATGAATGAATCAATCTTTGTAAAATTATTTTACTTTTTACACACATTTTAAGCTTATGAACTTCCGATTTGGAGAGTGTATCATAGATTACAGTCTTTATCAGGATTAGATCTTGTTATGGTCTATAGATATATCATTTTTATTGTTAAGAAATGTGGATGAACCTGTTTTACTCCAATGAATGAAATCCTAACGATTAATTAAAACCACTTTATAGACTTTGTTCATTCTAATTATACATAATCTTCCGATGTGAAAATTATTAATACATTCACATAACTATTATGAGCAACAACAAGCGGATAAGATTAAGTTAAAGAACAGAGTCATAGTTTAATGAATAAAAACTTCACCAGATCCTTACTAGGTAGAGTTCTGGGAACATGAACAAAGCGACTAAATACTTAGTCTACTTGGATCACTAAATGTGCAACAGCATAAGTGTCATAAACCAGATGTTAATTTGTATCTGAAGAGATTTATTGATCACAATCCTGTATTACTATTTCACCCCGACTATGCAATTTCGGCTGTTGTCTAGTATCTTAAGCTTTAACTAATTATATGTTTCCATCGGCAAAGTTAACTTCATGTTCGGCTGAGAAAAATCTCTGAAGCTAAAGAGTGGGAACGAAATAATCAGATTCCGGATCGTGATTCTCAAATCTGTTCCCAAAATTCATTCATCCATATGGCTAAATAGGATTCATGAATTATAGCTGATGTTAGCTCGAGAAGATAACCATAACCCTAATTTCTTATGTTGATTCCTTGCCCCAACTCCTGATTTTACTTCGACACTAATTCCAGAAACTTTTGAATAGGATAAGTGGTTGAGATTTCTCAGTCATTATTATAATTTCCTAAAGCCATCCCCATAATTAAGTTCCACTAATAAATTTTAACACTCATTGAACCAAGAAGTATGCCCTACTTCAATTACGGTCTTCAACCAGAAAATAGAATACAGCAGGCAGGATTGCATTAGTATTTATTATGTAAATCAATTTGTACAATAATATAGACTAATTTTCTGGTTTGACATTAATATGAATATGAAATGACCATTTAAGTATAATTACGCCAAAATGGAAGAAAACAGAGTTAAAAGGTTAATGATCAATAAGTTATCATTGAGGCAAGGTAAAACGTACGGTACTAGTTAACGAGTCTAATGGAAGACTATCATAAGAATAATCCATAAATGTAATAATGCAATTATTGAATAATTATACAATAAAAATATAGATAATAATAAACTATGAATTAGTCTTGGAAGATATACTTTTTTCGATATTTGCTCAGCTACAGCAAAACGATAAAAAAAGAAACTTGCTAGCGTCACACGAAAATTCCAAATTCTCTTGCAAACGGTTGCCGTTTTGATTCCTTGACATTGACGTGAGAAGAGAAAAATCAGCACGCAATGTAATAAAATAATCTAAAACGATTTATGAAAGTGATCACATGATTGTCAGTAACTAGTATATATATGTAAAATAATTAGTTCATTGGTAAATCCTAATTCCTGAAACTTGATGGACGCCTGGTATTTTGTTTAAAAAATCAATATGTTTTCAACCATTTATTATGATAAATAATCGCTTTTTTTCAGTTATTAAATAATAATCCATCATTCAATACTTAGTAATTTCCATCAGTTCACTATATGCACCGAGGATCACATAACTTCTTCCATGAATATTCGGTTATCAGCAAATATATATACTAAATGAAAACAAGAATCAGAGTGATCCTTGAGTATTTTAACTCTGATATAACACATGTTCACTCATCTATAGATGGTATTGGGAGACAATGAAGGCAATCCTAGAATGCACACAAATATCAATATTGATTCGTGTTTCATTTTTAGACGATTTCTTCTCATGCTTAAATAATTTGATTGTGTTCATTTCTATTTAAATGTTTGCTTGGTTTTTTACAGACTCTCGTATTAAATGGAGCTTATAAAAATCCTAACTTGACCATTCAAGAAGTACTTGATATATGCAAGGTAAGTGATGATCCACACAACTTATAAATTGCTTCATAAACGTCACAAAATCATATTATCAAAACAGATTGATTATATAATTCATATATATAATGGATTAAAAGGCAGAACAGGACATATTTTTACCGATTAATATGTGACCGGCAAAGAATGAATTCTCGAGAAAACCGTTACCTAAGTGAATTAGCTGTTTACCTGTAAATCCCAACTTAGATGAGTAGGAAAAATGCTCGTCATGAAAACATGTTACAGATGAACATGTTAGAGGGCATTGAGGTAGACAAGTCGAAATTTCAAAGACTAATCTAAAACGTTAATGGTAATATTGATTGCGAATTATAGCAGTAATTGATAACTAAATATCAAATAAAAAGATATGTTCATCTCATTTACGTATCCTCACATAGAAGACTAGTATTTCAGTGTGCATATATCATAAAATAAGCTTTAATGACTATTACTTTATGTTTCAGTCTTACTTTAATTCTCGTCAGCTCTCGTTAATTTCACTGCATTTTTATTATGCTCATGAATTATATTTTAACTTCGAGCTACAAAAAGTACGAGTTTATACACAACAAATACATGTTGATTAAAGTCATCATCAAGGTTCATATGCCAAGTAGCTACAATTTTTGTATAATGTAGTTCTTAGTTTTATGTCATTTCTGTACACCATCTGTATATAACTAACTGTGTATCCTAAGGATTAGATTGTCACTGAAACTGAACAGTGAAATGTAGTTTGAGACTTCCGATGTTAACGTTTACAACAGCTGATGATAAACTACAAGTATATATTTATTATAGGTAAGTGATTAATAATTAACTACATAAATCATGTTATTACAATGTATTACATAGCTTTCAAGGAAATACAAAGTATACATGCAATTTCTGACTATTTTTTATTTATTTGTAGACAAACACAAAATCTATGGATGAGACACAAAGAAAACCACCTGTGGAAATATGTCTTGCATCAAACAACTTACTTTATGTAATGGAAAAATTAGTTAAAACAGGGGTAAGTTGTTAAAAAAAAACTGACTGATAGTAGATCATTTCGGTATAATATTATGAAAAAGTAATTAATTATCTATAATAAGAAAAAATACAAATGTGAAAACAAGTAGTATATAAGGATGAAATTGTATTATCTGTATTTGTGTATATTGATCCATCTCAACATTATTGATTTTAAGCAGTAACAATTTTTGATCTAAAATTCTACTCAATTAATAACACATAAATTAACAGGATTACCAAGTATTGATTATCTAACAAATAGTTTTCACAATACAATTACTATTTGTCCAATTACTATATTTTATTTATGATTGTTTTATAAGGTTTTATAAAAACAAAAATTATGATGACATAATTTGGGTGTATTTTAGATTAACTGAACTCGTGATCATATAGAGAGAGATAGAGAAAGAGAGAAAGTCATATCTACTTGATAAACTTTATTCATTTTAATATACATTTAAGAAAATAAGGTTTATCAATAAATGATAAAATCAATCGGTTCATGATCTCATTCAAAAACCTAATAATCTCCACAACCCCTATACTAGTAATCAACATGTGCTCACTAGTGACTAGCTTCGTGATGGAATTCTCGGAGTTCTAGTGAGAAGCCGTGACCAGTGGAGCTAATCCGTGTCGGGTCGAGACAGGTATCTACCTCAGTACAACGGAAGTTGGTCGCGCAATTTCATGGATTGGTTGATGTTAGACACTATCATCATTGGATGCTGGCTCAGTGGTCCAGCAGGTTAAGTGTTCACGCGCGAGACTGGAAACCCTGGGTTCAAACCCCGCGTGCGGGCTCGTGGATGCGCACTTCTGAGGAGTCCCACAATAGGATGAAACGGCCGTCCATTGCTTTCAGGTCTCCAAAGGTGGTGGTCTAACATCAATCGGTTCATGGTTGCAATCAAAAACTTAATAATCTCCACAACCCCTATATTAGTAACAAACAAATAAACAAGCTATAATGAAAATGGATTGTTCTGAAGTAAATCATTGATGTATAAAAGAAAATTGTTATATGAATTAGGGATGATCTTTTTTATGTGATTAGATATATGTAAATAATTTACTTAACTTCAATTATTTGTTTAAATTATTTGTCGGAGAATGGGAAATGAGTTTTAAAAAAATTATTTTTTTGTCAATTTTTCTTATCATTAAATATTGTAAAAGTCTTTAAGAATTTCATTCAACCAGATCCTTTGATAAATTTAAACTAAGTAAGGACAGGAAAGTTTTTAAAATAAAATTAATTCATTCTGTAGTGAATGAGAACATTAGTGAGGACAATCGAATGTACTTGGACTCAAAATTACAGAATATCTTAGTGACATCTGAAAATCATATAGTAAATACTTCATTTGTAAAATATCAGTCAGTCGTCTGACACTTCATTGTTCTTTTGTTTCCACACTAATCATTCTCTGTTCTCATTCTCTTCTTTTCGATCTTTCTTAACCTTCTGCCTTCAGGCATTTCACTTTCGATTGATGGTACATACTGCTTATATCTGTCGATGTCAGTAACACACACCACAATTCTACTTCACAGCTTCTCATTAGCTATATACAGTCTAAAATTACAATTATTAGTATAATTATAAACAAATGGTTAATATACATTAATTACACATCCATCTTAATTGCGTGTTGTATTTATAAACTTCTTATCTTATTTTCCTGATTATGATGAATATTGTTATTTTTCAAACATTCGTCTACAAACTTACAGACTAATTTCTATGAAACATTTGTTTATAATTATGTTAATCATTGTAATAGTAAACCGTATGGAGCTGATAAGAAGTTATGAATTAGCATGAATTCATTTCAATCTATAAACATTCTTGACTTTTTTTCGATAGAACAATGAAAAAATCGAGTTGATCTGAAAAATGTAATGTATTTACGCTATACATTTCGAACAATCTGGTATAATGCAAATACATCAGATCTTTTTTTTTCAAATCAAATCCATTTTTTCATTGTTCTATCGAAATTTCTACAAGGGACTAATTGTTTTAACTTTTCTTTTTTGAAAGATTATAAATCCGTCTAGGATTATAAATATTATCAAGTTTTAAGTTGAGTTGGATTGTTTAAAATAATTGATTTAGTTGCAAAGTTTCCATTGTTATTTTGAATAGTAGTTTTCGTGAAAATAATTTTGTTTTATTTTGTCTGAAGGGGTTTGTGAAGATTTTAGAAATTTCACTGGTTAAAATCATGAGTCAATTGAAGCTAGATCACCATGGAAAACATGGAAGCACTGGACGGCCGTTTCCTCCCATGATGAGACTCCTCAACAGCGCGCATCCACGATCCTGTCACCCGCGAGATTCGAACCCAGAACCTACCAGTCTCGAGCGCGAGTGCTTACCCACTAGACCACTGAACCAACATACAATGTTGTTAATGTCTAACTTCAACTAATCCAGGAAGTTGCGCCTGGAGCGAAACTGATAGGTATTCGGTTCGAATCTCGCGGAGTGCGGGATCGTGGATGAGCACTGCTGAAGAGTCCTATACTAGGACGAAATGGACGTCCAGTGTTTTCAGGTTTTCCATGGTGGTCTAGCTTCAATTGACTCATGATTTCAATCCGTGTAATTTTATTTTGTCAAGTCTATATAATAGTTTTATTCAACTTTCGTAGAATTCTATTTGATTTCATGATTTTCGTCACATAATCAAACTTATTTTTATTTATCTTACACATCACTTGAATGTATTATGAAAAGCGATGAACATCTATTGCTTAATTTAATAATTGAATTCATGAATCAATTGAAGCTAGATCATCATTAAAAAACCTGGAAACACTTGACTACCATTTCATCCTAGTATAAGACTAGTATAGTGATCTAGCTTCAAATGACTTATGAAATCAATTATTAAATTACTACAATCCCCACAATACCCTTCCACATATTTTTGAATAAGTAAGAATACAACTAACATACTATTTATATTATTTGGTATGGAATTACGATAAATTTCAGCTTTTAAATACTTCCTATCAATTTGTTGATTATTTTTATTCTATATTTTAGTACCGTAGTCTTGTAATTGTGAATAATACAAATGATTATCGTGTAGATGGTATAATTAGTTTATCTGATGTATTACGTTTTACTGTCTTACAACAATTACGTATAACTTCATCAAGATCACAACCACCATCTGTAGCTGAAGTTGTTGATGAACGTGATGAATTGAATCAAGATGGAAAACAAAAGAAAAAGAAAAAATTAAAAAAAGAAAAATCATTTGACACTAATAATTTACTATCAACTTGTTCGTCAGAAACAATTATAAAGAGTAAGAATAATAATAAAGGCTCGATTTCATCACAAGATACACCAATCATATGTACATTAAATTCTACTCATTCTAATACTACAGTAAACACTATTATAACAACGAATACTACTAAAACTCCTATAACTATAACAACAGTTACTGGAGGTGTTGGATCTAGCCCTGAGCATATAAATACTTCATCTAGTCATACTATTATTGATAATGTGAAAATAAACAAATCTATTAAATCTTCTAAATTATCTAAAAATCGATTGGATAAATCAAAAATTAATTCATTAAAATCTGACAATACCAATACTTCGATCAATATTGATTTAACAACAAATAATCAAAGTAATAATAATAATTTATGCTCTGATCAAATAATTCTATCAACAGTTGTATCAGAAAAAATTACTTAAATCATTTAATAATCAATATTTTTTTTCCCTGATTGTTTACTGATTATAATGAGATGATGAAAAATTGATTTAAAGGAAGTATTCGCATTTCTTATCATCATCATCTAAACATTAACATAATAGATAGCCAATACATAGATACATACATACAATATACATTCTGAATGAAAAAAATGATCAAGGTCCAATGTAATCAAAGCTTTTTGTTATATAATTCTGTACATATTCATATCATAATAGTCTAAAACAAACAAACAAAAAGACATGTTTATAATAAGAAAAAATCTTCTCTTCTTTTATAATCTTATTCATCGGCTTTATTTCTTTATTATACAAAAACAAACAAAAAATAGTAACAAATTAACTAAGTGGAAAAATCTATTTTATGTTTCAAAAAATAACACATTTTTACTGTCAGGGATAATATTGATCTAAGTACACCCAAAAGAGATTGAGATTGTTGAGTATAAAAATCAATTTTATTCAATATGTTCATTACTAAAATACTGATAATAGTTGGATATCATCAACATTGTTATTGGAAATAATCTACTCAAGTCTTTCATGTTTATGATCAATTCAATGTGAGTGTGTGTGTGCGTGCGTGTATGTGAATGCCTACTTGTTTCAATCATTATTTTGCACACAATTAATGTCAATGCAAAAAAAAATGAAAGGAAATAAACAATCCATATACAAGCAGCATAGTGTTTAGGTTGTTGCAAGAAGCAGATAGAGATAGATAGTCAGATAGAGATGAAGAGAAGAGAAAATATTTCTATAGATAAGTGAAAAAAAATTGTACAACCTACTCTATTTTCTATTTTATCGATTGTTTTTCTTTTCTCATTGCTTTGCGTTTGTTTTGTTTTTTTTTCATCCCATCAACTATGCAATTTCTTTGTTGTTCTCTCAAAAATTCACGTCATCATTATTATCGCTTAACTTCTGCCTTCATTACCTGATCGTAATTCTTTACTATTGTAGATGTTGTAATCGTTATTATTGTTACTCTAATAATAATTATTATTATTGTTTTGAGGTTCTTTCAAATTCAGAAATGTTAAATCCTATGGTTCTTCAAAACAAGAGTTGTGTAATTTGTTTTTTTTATCTGATTGTTCTTTCTGATTATTATTTTATTTTTTCGAGAAGGCTTTATTTCTTCAAATATATTTAATTCTGCATTGAGCATTTATAGTCGTGTATAAGAGAACTAACAAATTTCAGTCAGTCAGTCAGTAACAACGTAGAACTTCGCACGTACGTACGTACATCAGTTCGAGTTGTCATACCACATTAGCACACAGATAGAATGGTCGATTCAAATCCTACAGTGGTAGGGGCAGTAAGAGTATAAGCAGTAATCGGAAAGATTAGGGTTTCAGGATGTTATTCAAGGAGCATAATCCAGTGAAATAAATTTGGAAAGAGGAACAAAGAGACATGAAGAATTCAGAAGGCTAGAATTTGGGAGAACACAAAGATTTAATTCGCCTGCGCCATTGAGAACGATTTTGGATTCAAAGGTAGATGCAACTATCTTTAGACAATTATAAATATGTTAAAATATGACAATAATGTAGTATATTAAAAACTGACGTCTACGACATAGCAATTCAAGACTAAGGATATAAGATTTATAAATGAATAAAAACTTTAAACATGAATCGAACAACAAATTTTTTTAGTTATTCAGATGATCAGTAACTTCCTGTTCCAGTGTTAGAAAATGATTTCCCTATTCAGTGATAACAAGTTAATGAATCAAAATGAATCTATTCAATGTTGCAGAGTCATTGATAGGGATAACTAGACGAATCGTAAAAGTGAACTTTTCTTAATAAGAAAAAGGATCAACGTATATCTTACTATTTTTGTCATCAGTAATTTTGTCGAATTCTGATGATTTGAAAATGTTTGAAATATGAGGTTGGTTAATTTTTTACTTAAATGTAAACAATAACATTATAGATACGCTTCAATTACTACTGATTAAGTTGTTTCAGTAAGATTTTTCAAATGTTTGGCTAGACACAAAAATTTTTGCAGATTACTCAATTCATATATTTTATGTCGATTTATGATAACATTAAGTCAACATCATATTCTTTATCGAAATGCATGATACTTCTTCACATACCAAATAATTCAGAGGTAAGTTGATGAGTTGATGTATATTTAATTGTAATTAGGAATTCAAAATACGACTCATATTTACAGTCTGATTATAGATAAATTGTGGTGCTAAACAAATGAAGTTGACACAAGTCTACCTACATCATCTCTCTTATTCTATACACTTTACTCATAAATTGGGTCATAAAGGAAAACGTCGCTTTCAAAGAAATTTTTTTCAGATAAACGTATTCAAATATCTAAAATACTTTTTAGCCAACTAACAATCATAAAATTTACTGTAGCTTGAATTTCATTAAATCGGACTGTGTGTTATTATTTGTAGTAATTATTTGGAAATAGATGAAGGGAGCATAAAGCAACTTTTACGGAACAATTATTGTGAGAAAAACAATATTTATGGATGAATTATCATAAGGAAAGAATAAAGGAAACAAAAAAAACTTCAACATATCTGCCTCTTCAGTAACATAATACAGATGATATCTTGAAAAAGAAGTATGGAAGGTACTTGATTCAAAGAGTATTAATATTTGTTTTATAACACCAGATTTAATCTGTAAAATTTTTAGTTAAGATCCATTCTGTTGTTACGTAGACAATACAGATGTATGGATCATTCAGCAAAAAATAAAATTGAACTGAAACATTAATTTTGATAAAGTGATTAGCTATCTCTGTTTATTCATCTCTAATCAGAACGTATTATTGACAACATCAACAGCAGCATCAGGGCCTCTAGATACATGAAGCGTGAATTGATATGGTTCTTTATTTTGATATGGAGATGTCAAATGAATGACGCTACTCGGATCCTGTATGCGCATTTCGGAGACGCAGCGCACATCGATGGCGCGAGATTCTAAAGTCTTAGCTAAGGAAGCCTGTTGTCCTATTTGGCACAGTGTTCGCACGTTGAAAGCTCCTACATGTGGTTTACAGCGTGGTTTCAGGAGACCGGGTATAACGTTCCGCGTACTAGAATCGTAGAGATAAGAGACTAATTAGGAGGTTTAGGAAGGATTTGATGGTGACCAACTTGGTCTCGTATGCTGTTAAAGGTATGAGGGCTGATGACTCTTCCCGACTGCCCACACTGTGGAAGGGTATTTCTTAAGGAACCTGAAAAGGAAGTTGGATTAATGTTGGCCTTAACGACCTTGGAGCGTGACCACAGAGCCCAAGGCACAACTGCCTGAGGCTAGTCAAGCACATCCTTTTTGTGGAAAGTTTTTAACGTGTTAGTTCCGTTCTTCAAAAAGCCTTACCGCCAGAGACGGAAATCCATGAGGCAAGATGAGGTGTGACATTTTTAGGGTCGACCCTTTCTAGCCAAGCCCTTCCTTTGCGAGAAAGTAGCATCGCTGCAGATGCTGGTTGTCCGGGGGAAACATCTTACTTCCGTCACACCTCTGTACAGTCGGCAGTACAACGTCGCCCTCAGACCTTTAGTTGCTGCTTTTAATCTTACCGTTCTTCAACCGACCTGACTGGCATGGTAGGACCATTAGGAACGATTGTTCCAGTCAATATAGCTCGGTCGCATCATCACGATAGGCAAGCTCGATCACCACATCAGGGTAGCAGTTACGCTCGGGACAACCCTGATACATTTACTTACGTTAAAATTTCACACAAACGTTAGCCATATATATTTTTCTTCGTTTGCATCATAAATTGATCTTATATCAACCATAGTTGAAGACGAGGGAGCTCTACACAGTTGCTATTTCCTAGTATCTAGCGTAGCGAACCACCTTATACTAATAATATACATAAATGTTAGATAGGAAAAAATCATCAAAAGAGTACAAGTATTTCTAAAGAATTGTCTACGCAAAATGCTCATTGTCCGTTGACCGAATACCATTAACAACAGCCTACTATGGGAGAGAACAAACCAGCATCCAACTGAAGAAGAAATTAGAAAAGGCGTTAGAGGTGGATAGGACATACATTATGAAAATCACCTAACTGCATCACGAGGTAAGTGTTAACTTGCCCTAAAAATCATTCCCAAAAGCTTTACGTTTATGCCGAATAGAATAATGTATGATAAATTAAAAAGTATTTGATATTTCATATATGCTGAACTTTGAATATATATCACTACTTAAATTTATTAAACATACTGAAGAACATGCTCAATACTATAGCTTATATAAATCCTACTATATAAACTGTTAAACTCATTTGTGCATGATAATAAATTGAAATTATCTAAAGAGTTCATTGTTCTTGGGTCACTCACTGTTTAACAATTAAACAGTATATAGTACTCATCAAATGACCAAAAGACAATATATTTTGCAGTCATTTATTAAAGCTGAATTATTAATTACAAATTCTTGTTTGTTGATCATATCAGTCATTATGGTTTTCCTATTTTTTTACGTATTTGATAATAAGTTGTAATTATCACCTATTATTCTCATTTTCGTCAGCAAAATAAAAATAATAACCGCTTACCACATTTTTCACCTAGAAACTACTTTACCTATCTACATATTCATATTACCCTCTAGGTTATCACATAATATTGTTATAATGAAAGTTTTCAAACACTGTTAATGACGCAACCGTTGTGTGTGTTAATTAATTTAAATATGAAGGTAAGAAGCAGGCGATGATATCAGAAAATATTTCATTTTACGAAACTATGCTTTTCGTTTTGTTTTGTTTTCTCAATGATGCTATGGATTTCTCTCGTCATATTCCTTTCGTATTTGTTAAAAGAATAAAAATGACAAAAAACCTTTACAATAACTCATTTGCAATATTCCAAGGGGTGGAAAATTGAATTTCTGACGTTTCATAGTTTGGTGACGATTGCTTCTCCAAAGTATGAATACGTAAACTGC